GTAGGGCCTCACCAGAATGTCCTTTCAGCCCTACACCTACAAACAGTTACAGCAAATTATTTCATCCCGACTGAGCAACATGAAGGCATTTGAAGAGGATGCAATTCAGCTAGTTTCCAGGAAGGTAAACACAGTACAGACGTGTGTCCTCTGTGTTGCATTAAGTAAAGAACATGGCGGGGGGGAAGGAGAGGGCACATCTTGTAACAGAAGTCAGACCTGACTTCTGTGTTTACATGTTCTATGCTGGAGACAGTGGGGCATTAGTAGTGGATCATGCACTATGTTTTCTGTAAGATATGCAGGACACTTTTACAGGAAACATTCCTAAGCAGCGTCCTTGCCTTTTCTGCCTGCTTTGAAAAGGCAGCAGTGTGCTCCAGAAGCCGGAGGGGTTAAAACAGGGTCATGATAATGCATAATGATATCAGCTTTCTCTGCTGTTTGTCATAATTAGAATCACTGGATCATCTTGACAAAGATTAGTATGCCAGTGGTAGTGGAAATACAGGAATTACAGGATTAGAATATAGTAGAAATGGGATAGACTATAGTAGAAATATAGGTTATAGGAAAAAAGTTCAGTCTTGAATTTGTAATGACTGGATTAGTAGGGGGTGTTTTGGTTTTATTTTTTGGTCAGCAAAATTGTTATTTTAAAATGTGAGATTCTAGTCATGTAGTCCATGGTGGAATTACTCTCCTGATTTCCCCTTCCCCTTTCTTTTTTCTTCTATCAATTCTAGCTAAATTTTTTATTCAGCTAGTAGGAAATGCTGCTAAAAACTTGTGATGTTTACTTTCAGGTAGCAGCATTGTCTGGTGATGCAAGACGTTGCCTTGATATCTGCAGAAGGGCCACTGAGATTTGTGAGTTTGCTAGCCAGAAGAATACCTGTGGAATAGTCCGAATGGCCCACATAACAGAAGCCATAGATGAAATGTTTTCATCCCCATATATAAATGCAATCAGGTAAAAACATTATTTTTCAGAGGTGTTTCTTCCCTTTGCATCTTTTTCACTGTGCCCTTTTCCAAAAAATCTTCAGTCCACTCTCACGTCCTACTCCCTCCCTTTAGGAGTGTATGTAATACTTAATACTTTGTTGAAATATGGTACAAAACAAGCCTTACAGCACAGCTAGGAGTGAAAAACACAAAGTAGGAATTAAAGACAGAGGAAAGACCTAGAAATGACTTGTTTAAAGTTATACAGCATGTCTCCGTGTTAGTATTTTAGTTCAGATTAGGAGCAGGCTTTTGAATTTTCCTGATTGTCCCTGTTTACTGTATGTTGATTTACACTGAACTGCAGTTTCCAAGTACATATATTTGTATTCCTTCTAGATAGAACTAAATCTGGAAGATGTGCTTCAGGAGCCCACAGTTACGCTAGCTACTGGTTGCCCAGCATGCTGGGCCAGACAAGAGCTAGACGGAAGGAAAAGCCCTAGAAGCCTGTGTAGTATAGGCATCAGGTCCTCAGAGTCAACTCCTCTGTGCTACAGAGCTGCTGGTATTACGCAACTCTCCTTGCTGCTTTGGATGCAGCCGCAGACCCCTGAGCAGAATGTGACAGTTGTAACATTATAACACGCTGCAGAGCATGTAGGATGTTCTGTAAGGCTTTTGCCATTCACAGCCTGAGTTCATAATTATTAAAGAAACTACAGGCTTGTTCTCCCAGCCCAACACATGCACAGTATTATTGCATTCTTCAGTCTCTTAATTCATGAGGATTTACCATATTAAAATTTGTCTTATGTAGCTCCTAGTATGAGTGCTTGTAACAAACAGGAGATCTGCACAATGACCAAACTTTGCAGAAAATTTTAGCTGTGTTATGCTATTATGTATAGAATGAAATGTCATGTTCAGATACAGTGAAATAGAGGTGGAGTGATATGCAGTGCATTGTGGTGCCAGAGATACAGGCTGTAATATACTGGCTAGTTGAGATATAGTCTTGCATTTTTTTTCTCCTCTCTCCTGTAGCGAAATACCCTGCATTTCAGTATGTGCTTCCCAGGCAATTTTGCTTCCCTTCCAAACTTCTTCCTAAGGATTCACGAATTCTAGATTTGGTAGACTGATTTTTGTTTTCTTTTGATATTCAGGAGTGCCTCACTGCATGAACAAATCTTTCTGAAAGCAATTTTAGCCGAATTTCGCAGGGCAGGTGTTGAGGAGGCAACAGTGCAACAGGTATGTTAGTGTTTCATAGTACTTCAAAAAAAAAAAAAACCTTCAATAAATTTATCAGGCAATAGCACAAATATTTCAGTTTTTTAATTTTTATCATATTATCTTAGATCAAATCATAAGAAGGTAACTTGGGGCATGGCTGTCCAGGCCAGGTGTAAAGCCTAACTGGTGCCACCACCTGTTCTTGCTTGGAACTGAATGCTTAGAATTGGAAGCACCTGCTGTTGTATTAATATTACCAGTATTCCAGGTCAGAAAATGAATTTTTTTTGCCTATGTCTGAAAATGTTGCATGCCTCCACATAACTTGCTTCATAACAGAAGAAATAAGAGGTAGCCTGGGATTATGAGGTGACATTAGTTCAAGTAGGTGGCCTGAATGTTAATTTCCAAGTTATGTTTTGCTATCTTTCTCAACAGAGGCAGATATATAATTAATAACTGTTTTTTTTAAGTGGACTTGTTAAATACCCATCACCAGCATGTAGACTCATTAGTCTCTGCATGGAATCCATTTCATGGATTCCACAGTACAGAAGCTAAATGTTAATATTTACCTAATAAAAATGATTAGGACTAAACTTGCTAGTTTTCACTGCTTCTGTAGGTTTATTAGTAAGCGTTTTAGTCACATTTTCTGTTATTAGTTCCTAAACACCTATACTAGTTTGACTGCATGGATGCACTGAGTGACCAGTGCTTAAACTTAAAGGTTACATTTTTTCCCTTAAAGAATGTAGCTTTCCTCTGACACCAAAGGAGGTTTCTTTCCAGAGACTTAGAAAAGCAGAAGACCGTGTCTGATTCTTACCTGGTTTACTAGTCTGCATGATTTGTGACGAGTGCTTTCTTCTGTGCTTAAAGGTGGATTATCTGCCCTTTTTAGCTGTAATCTTCCATGTTTCTAGTCAGCATGACTCATGCTAGCTTATCACTGGGCCTGGCTATCATTTCAGAGTGGATAACTAAGTAGTTTTATGTCAGCTCTTGATCTGCTGGATTGGCTTTATTCCACACAGTTCAGGGGAGAGGAGGTATAGTAACAGATAAAAAAGATGTAGTTAAAAGAACTGCAGACAGCCTAGCTTGGTGATTGTGTTTTGCTTTCTTTGATTGTATGGCAAAGGAAACTTTAGCTTAGAAGCATTATTTCATTGACCAAAGTCCCAATATCCTATGTTAAAACAGCAGCATCTGAGCATTTCATCTGAAGAGACTGTAACTAGTTAGTTTCTCCTTCCCTCCCACCGAAGGAGGGGAAGGAAGCTTCCATTTTTTGCCTGAGCCCGCTGCATTGTAGCAGGAGGTAAACCTGAGTTATATCTTTTCCCTTTCTTTTTTTTTTTTTCCCCTCCCCCTAGGTCTATCATCAACATGTAGCGCTGTGTAGAATTGAAGGTATGCAGAGTCCTACAGTATCAGAAATTATGGCAGTTTGCTCAAGGCTTGGTGCCTGCAGGCTCTTGCTGGTAGAATCCAGTAACAAGTATCTTCACATGCGGGTGCGACTAAATATCAGCCAGGATGATGTCATGTATGCACTCAAGGATTAGTAAGACGATAACAGATATTTTACATTCATATATGTATAACTATTTTAAATATTGTCTAATTTTTATTTTTTTAAAAAATGATGCTAAAATGGAAATAATGGAATGTTGTATTTTTCCTAAATATTCTGTTTAAATGTTTGATGTAGCAAAGCACTTTTTGTATAATAAAGAACTTGCTTCAGGGCATTTTAAATATTTGAAATCAAACTGTTTTAAAAATATTTTTAGGTGCTGGTAACAGGTCTTCTTTCAAATAAGATATGTGAACTGGAATTACTTGCATTACTACTAGTGCTAAAGAACTTTTAAGACTGGCAATGTCTTTGTGGCATTGCATTTTATGTAGCTTTCTCTTGTTGACTTTTGTCGAATATAAAAGATGTGATTAAAACTTGATTAAACCTACATTACTCGTCTAATGAAAAGGAGCCTTCAATTTGCAAGAAAAGCTGAAATGTGAGGAGACTCTACTACCAGGAAAGTAAAAATAGCAGCAGGATTTTTTTTTTTTTCAGCTTTATGTATTTTTTGGAGCATAACTGTTACTGAGGAGAGCTTCGAAGAAATTACCTCAGCTAATGCAGGTCTGTTAAAGTCTGCTTTCATAATAGAGTTGTTTACCGAAATATATTAGTGATTTAGAAAGGGATAAGTTGGAAACACTTTAAAGAGTTGTGTTGTTGTGAAACGGCCTCCAAAATTTGTTTGTTTACCGAGATCACTTAAAGTAGAGAAATGGTGTAAAGAGCAAATACTAGAGAATTCACTGTTGCAAGATTAGAAATAAGGACTTCCCCTAGAAAGTGTCTCACACTAGCTTGATGAAGTGCAGGATTTAATAAAGCTGCAGTTCGTACAGCAAGCTATAAATTTCGTAGCAGCTTCAGCCAACCTTATAAATAAGCGCAGGATCGATAGGGCTGTCCGAGGACTGAATTACTCTCCGGGACGCGCTTTGCCGCCGCGCCTTTCCCACGCGTTCAGAGCGCTGCGGCTGCC